GATGACAGTGTACTAAGTGTTCAGTGAATGTTCAGTCTGTCACCACAATCATGGAAAATCCAGGATGGCTTAACACTTAAAAAAACGCTTAATGGGCTGGGGTTGTAGCTCAGTAGTAGAATGCTTATCTAGCATGTGTGAGGCACTGGGTTGGATCCTCAACACCATATTAAAAAAAAAAAATAAAGGTCTTGTGTCCAACCACAACTAAAACATTTCCAACTGTTATAAAGCATGAGATGTATGTCCTAATTCAGTTTGGGCATATCATATGTCCCTAGAAATTTGTCATTGTCCTCAAGATTTTTTTATTTCATTAGAGCTTAAATTTTCAAAATAGTTTATAATTGTCTTCTGTATTTCAATAGTGTCTGTCATGATATTTCCTTTTTCATCACCTTTTGTTAGGGTGACTAAGGGTTTATCAATTTGATTTTTTCAAAGAACAAGCTTTTGGTCATTTTTTTTCATTTGTTTCAATTTAATTTATTTCAGCCCTGATTTTAATTATTTCCTGTCTTTTTGGTGTCGATTTTATTCTTTTTTTCTTCTTCTAGGGCTTTGAGATGTAATTTTAGGTCATTTATTTGCTGATTTTAAAATTTTTTTATTCTTTTAATGAATGAGCTCAATGCATGAACTTTCCTCTTAGCCCTGCCTTTTTAGTGTCCTAGAGATTTTGATATATTGTATGTGTGTTCTCATTTACCTCTAAGAAAATATTTTTATCTCCTTGCTGATGTCTTCTGCTATCCTTCCCCCTCTGATAGTATATTATTTAGTATCCAGGTGTTAGAGTACCTTCTATTTTTTATTTTATCATTGATTTCTATTTTCATTCTATTATGGTCTGATAGAATTCAGGGTAGTATCTCTTTTAATTCACTAAGACTTGCTTTGTGGCATAACAGGGTTTATTTTACAAAAGGATTCATGTGCTGCTGAGAAAAGCGTATTCACTCATTGAAGGATGAAATATTTTATATGTCTGATAAGTCTAAATTATTGATTATATTATTGAGTTCTATAGTTTTTTTGTTTTATTTTTGTTTGGAAGATCTATCCAGTGGTGAGAGAGGTGTGTTAAAGTCACCCAGTATTAGTGTGTTGTGTTCTTTTTGATTCTTGAAATTGTTTGTACATAGATGCTCCATTGTTGGGGGCACAGTGACACAGCCACATTAATGTTTATAGCAGCTCAATTCACAATGGCTGAACTGTGGAACCAACCTAGATGCCCTTCAGTGGAAGAATGGATAAAGAAACTGTGGTATGGGCTGGGGTTGTGGCTCAGCGATAGAGTGCTTCCCTAGCTGGTGCAAGGCTCTGGGTTTGATCCTCAGCACCACATAAAAATAAATAAAAGTATTGTGTCCAAGTGCAACTAAAAATATTTTTTTAAAAACTGGTATATATACACAGTGGAATATTACTCAGCATTAAAAGAGAATAAAATCATGGCATGATAAATGGATGGAGTTGGAGAATATCATGCTAAGCAAAATAAACCAATCCCAAAAAAACAAAGTCCAAATGTTTTTCTGATATGTGGATGCTGATCCATGGGGGGGGGGGGG